GGTCGCAGTCTCCTTTCGATTGATAGAAGTGGGTTGACCTCGTTGTCGCAACTTGGTCTTGTTGTCATGGTGACTTAGTAGAGCGCACTTAGTCCGTATTCGTCTGCCATAGTAGTTGTCATGATTCCCAGCATCAGACAGTGGACGTGGTACATTCTCAAACGTTTCGCCGGCATTGTAGTCGGCATCATCAGTGAGTTTTGCTATTCGCCACACCAAGCTACGAACTCGTCAAAGAGACAAGTGCGGCGAAGGGCAAAACTCCCTGATGATGCCGACTACGATGCCGGCGAAACGTTTAAGAATGTACCAAGTCCACTGTCTGATGATGGTAATCATGACAACTAATATGTCAGACGATTTCGGACTAGGTGCGTTCTACTAAGTCACCATGACAACAAGACCAAGTTGAGACAACAAGGTCAACCCACTTCTAGCTAGTTTCAACTTGAATATGTTAAAATGTTATCAATATTTCTTTAATAAAAACTATAGTCACTCCAGAAGCGGCCTGACCTCATTTATACATCTTGGCCGTTTTGTCAGAAAGAGCTAGATGAATGCATGCAGTCACATCATCAGACCGTGAACTTGATGCATTCCCAGACGTTTAGCAGGCATCATCAGTGAGTCATGCCATCATTGGTCTTCATATCTTCGCTTATCAAGTCCATTTCGCTTAATATGACTTCAGAACCGATGGCAAAATTTCCAACAATCAAATGAGTAGGCCTTACAAGGCGAATGTATCCTATATTAATTTCATTGTGGCAAATTTTGCTATCTGTCCTTAATTCACCTTAAGAGAGCTATAATGACTTAGGAGCCTATTCAAGAATTATTAATAACTTAGAAAATTATTTGCTAGTCGAGATTAGGCTTATTATTTCTGTTCCCATTTATAATAATTATGGACATATTAGGTTGCTTTAGATGATGTAATTAGCCTAATAAATAGCTTTTTACAACAAAATGCATTTTTAATTTTCTCTACAAATACACGTCTTTTTATCCTCTAAAGCGAACCATATTGGCTATGGTCATTGTAAAAGCTCTACGATCCTCAGTCCATCTTTCGTTTCTCATTGCTGTAGCTCTTCTGCTATCCCTCATCTCCTCCTATTTATAGGCTAATCCTATGCTCTAATCCTATAAAAATTTGATGCAAATTGCTTCCTGTTTCCTCTGCGCTCAGATCCTTATGAAGCGGGTATTTAAAGCGTCAAAGAACTCGATTGACACCACAGGGGGAGGCCGATTTCTCACCGAGTTTGGACTCTGTGCCCCGGACAATTCGACCAGATCCATCAACACTATCGAGTGCAACACCCTACTGGACATGGCCGACGAGAACTTCCAGTCGTGGACCTACTGGGATTCATTGTTCTTTGACCCAAATGGAAAACCAATAGAAAATCAGGTATCGTTCCAGCGGGATTTTCGTAACACCAGGACGGGTTGATAGGCCTAACTCTCTCAATACCCACACTAATTGTAAGGGCTTGTATACTTGAATGACCCAAAGGCATCGAAGGATATTCCTCATTATGCCGTAGAAGAGGTTGACTTTATTTTCGGTAAGAAATTTTCTGTGCTTCGCAATTTCCCCAATAAATTTCATCTGTAACGTGACGAATATACCTAGGGAACATCTCTTTCATAGTATTACTTGGCCGTCATAAAATTCTAACTAAAACCACTACGTTGATGTACCCTCCATTTATATCGAAAATGCGGGTGTAAAGGATTTAGCCTCATCTCAAGCCGAGCAAGGATTACTCTTAAGAAGTTTGGATTGCTAAATTGTGTGAAGAAGTCCTCTAAATACTGCCCTTCGACACCATGTCACAGGTCACATCTATGAAACTTACTCCTTACCACTAATTATCTCGAGTACAATTGCCGA